GGAGTTCCCTACCGAATGTGCTGTACCTCGATTCGGTGTCTAGCAACCTTCTAGATAAAAATGCCAAGGGTTGCCAGGAGTTGTTAACCCATTGTTGTAAGACTCCTCCGATTGCTGAGTCGGATGCGTCTACTGCGATGCTAATGGGTGCTCGGGTGTCCTGATGTGCGAGCATTGTTGCTTTAGCAATCAGTTCCTTAACTGTGGAGAATGTTTTTTTTGTGGTGTCATCCAAATTAATGGATTTCGCATTTCCACGAAGTTGGTCGTTCAGAGGTTTCATAAGTAATGCGCATTTGGGTATGAAACGTCTATAGAAACTTACCAGGCCGTTAAACGTGCGCAATTGCTTGACGGTGGTCGGTTCTGGGTAATCCAGAATGGCCGCCACTTTGGTCCTAAGAGGTCGAATGCCTTGAGCATCGATAGTGTGTCCTAGGAAGTCTAACGAGTCGGTTCCGAATTGGCATTTCTGAACGTTTACGGTTATGCCATGTTTTTTGAAGTCGTTCGAAAACAAGATCCAGATGCTTGAGATGTGATTCTCTGTCCGGACTTGCGATTAGGCAATCGTCAACATACGCATGTACGAAGTTGAGACCTCGAAAAACGTCGTCTATGAACCTTTGGAATGTTTGAGCAGCGTTTCTGAGACCGAAATGGATTCGCAGAAATTCATAGAGTCCGAAAGGAGTAATGATGGCGGTTTTCGGTGTGCCGTCAATGGCTATGGGAATTTTGTTATACGCTTTAACCAAGTCGATATTCGAAAAGACAGTTGTACCTTTCAAGATAGCTGTCAAATCGTGAATGTGAGGCAACGGGTAACGATCGGGAATGGTTTTCGCGTTCAATCGCCGATAGTCACCAGTTGGACGCCAATCGTTGCTGTCATTTTTAGGGACCATGTGCAACGGAGATGCATATGGGCTATTTGACGGTCGTATGATTCCTTAGTCTATCATATGGTCGAAAACTTACAGAGCTATTTATTTTGGGGATTTATTTACCGCTACAGCTTCAAACATAGCAATGTGAAAGCTATAGTCAGAACAAGAACATTTTGGTTGTAAACTTCATTTGCTTCTAAACGTAAAAATATTCGACCAGTAAATTAATTTAAAGAGTTGTAGGCATTAAGTGAAACGCATAAATATACCAACCAGTATTGCGTGTCTCGTCGAATTGAACAAAAAACATGAGATGAAGTCACATTAATGTGACAAGACAATGTCCTTCAGTTGGTAGCCCACAGACATATCAGATAAGGTCGGTCTGGTGGTTGTTTATGCAGCAACTTGACTGACTTGTTATAGTCATAACTAACAGTCACTACTATCAGATCCCACCATGTTCGATCTTTAATCGATGTTGACTCATGTCATTATTAAGTGTCGATGTATTCTATCTGCCTCAGATCACTTTTTCTCTTGTCCTTTTTACTCCTGGATTCTCTTTCACACACACATTTTACTCCACAACGTATCTCTAAGTTAAATTCAAACCAACCGCGAGACGTCATAAGTCATTTTATTTCCTAATTTAAAAGGATAGAAAACGACTACTTAACCACACCCAATAGTTAGTTACTGTATTAAAGATGAATAAAACATGAAAGCTAAAATTCGTTTATCACAAAACGCGATGGAGGTAGAAGTGATATCTCACTTAACAATCTTATGAAATCCATTATTAGCACTAATCGGTCATGCTATTTAGCAAGTTATACTAATTTTGTTGAATGTTTTGTATGCAGATGATAGTCTAAATCATCCAATACACGCTCTCATTCATTTGACTATTGCTTGTTATCGGATAGCTACTTAGTCGAACATTTGGTTCATTTAGTAAACTATCTGTTCAGTCACTCCAAATATTCCAGGATATCCTGTTAACGAATTCCCGTATCATAACACTGGTGATGCTGATAACTAGTCAAGGCGTGAAAGTGTCAGACAGGACCTGGCATTCAGACAGTCTGACATACATTATGGGGTATTTCCATCGTCACAAAGTGTGAATGGGCTTGCCAATTCAGTCTTATATTGAGTTAGGACTGATTTTATAGTTGAGACGTTAATAGCTTATTACATCTCAGATACAAATTACTGACCCATTGAATAAACTTTGCTGCTAAATACAACTCACTCACATATCAGTTAGTTCAAAGATGAACTTAGCATAAGTATGTATGGTCGATGACCTAAAAAATTAGTGAATTTCGAGACTCACAGAACTATTTATGAGTTCTGTGCATACAATAAGAGGTTTCACACTTCATACGTAACCTGTGGGTAAAGTCCTAAGTACAATAGACGATATGCAGAAAAAACAAGCATATTAAAAATATATATTCGTCAAAGGTCTGAAAATACCTCGGTAGTAGATTTCGTAATTTCTAAAATGCGGTCGGCAGATGCAGCTAGCTCGTCTAAGGCGTTGTTCTGGAACGAGACCAGAACTGCTTGCACTTGTTGGGGAAGTTTTGACAAGAAGAGTTGTTTGAATAGACCTTCGTCGAAAGTTCTTGGGCCTATAACCTCTCTCATCCGTTGCAACATGTCCGTCGCAGAACCGTGTTGAAGAGTTGATCTAACCTTTGTCGATCGATTAGGTTTCCTCGTTTAAGAATCGTGCGTTTTAAGATTTCGTAAGGATCGGAAACATCACTAGTAAACATACTAGGTGTTATGTACCTGTTGAATTCGCGCGGTAGTGTTTTGACTACTGCGAGGAATTGTGCACGTGTGTCGATCACGCCGTGCTCGGAAAAGTCGGCTTCGGCGTAGCAAAACCAGGCTTCGATGTTGTCGGGCCAGAAAGGCATCAGTTGAAACGAAGGCGGGGACAAAGTCTTAAGCTTGAGTACTTTAGGTGTCTGTTCAGTCATGACGAAGTATGAAGTACGATAATAAACGAGGGGAAAAAATATATATCCAAGAAAAAAAATGACAATGTTTAAAAAAATATAAAATAAGGCAATGATATATAAAAATCCCAAAAAGGAACAGACTCACAGTTGCAATTAGGTGTACCAGATCACGCCGATCTCACCAGTGATGATGACACAGGTATTCAGTGTTTGACAACGCTTCTACCAGTAACACCTAATATATTTCGTTCCCGCCCAGAGAAATCAAAAGACAGAGTCGAGGAGATCGGAAGAGTATATTTGGCGATGACCAATATATCAAAATTCTCTGATCTAATGTGGCTAGCGATTGCGGTTGATGTTGAGCACAGCGTTACCACACGTGATCTGGTGCGGATGCCTGACCGAGCGCCTTCAGCTAAATGAGTCCACTAAAACATATGGTCAGCATCCAATGTCTAAAACATACAGAGCTATTTATTTTGGGGATTTATTTACCGCTACATGCTGATCATACGGTAATTAGCAATAATTGGCCTAAATGTAGCTATTAAGAATCACACAAGTAATTTTCGGCAAAGGACGTTCTGATCCACAAACTTCAGATAATCCTAAGTAGTTTGGAGAAACCTGAAGGATAGACTTTATAATAAAAAAAAATTGTACTCAGTTCATAAAAGTCAATTAATTACTAGTGAGCATAGATAAAATGTTGCCTATCCATATATCGTCCTAGATAGCTGTTCATATTTCAACCAGTAGTTGGAAATTTTATCTGAAAGAACCTTACAATGAAATGGCCAATTAACATATTCATTAAGTCTCATTTTCCCTAAATGAAACTTTGCCAGTATAATAGTTAATTAGACGGTTGATTCGCTGTTTAAAATAAGTATCGAGCAAACTTTGTGCTGAAATGTAGAGGAACCTTAGGGAGAATCAAGGTGATATTCTTTGAAGAAATTTGATGAAAATTCAAGCAATAATCCTCTGAAACGTTGTGATAATTTTGCCTGTGTTTCGCTTGGAGAGACATGCCTGGCAATCCATGATTAATTTATGCAAGATAGTTTACCCCTAACAAATATTTAAGACAAATAGTCTTTCAGATCTGATGAATGGCTGGTGTTTTGTCGAAGGAAAATAACGAAATTTCCTTGAGAACGCTGTTTCTATCTGATTTTCAGAAACTGAACGCGACTGAAGAAAGCTGTACTTGCGATAAATTGTTTTTACAGAGGACCCAAACATAATTGGATATACTAACAACGAGTCTTTTAATAATTAAACACCAACATTAGGTAGCAAAAACGTCTGTAAAGTCAAAATCTGAACATAGATTGTAAATAGTTCGACGAGTCTTTCGAGACTTCTATGGAAACCGTCAAAGAAAGTATAACCTACCAACTGACGGGGTTTTCGAGCTACCAGAGAATAATCAAGTGCCGTTATGCTTTAAATATTCTGAATTTCGCACATTACCAAATGATTTCTTTCTCGTCTAAGCGTCTCCGGCGTTCTCGTCTATTTTCTCCTGTAAAATTTGGTCCGTATGAGCTAGAAAATTGATCTATAAGCAAAACGTCAATTACAGTTTGCAAAAACATTACCAATATTAGGTTCCCATTGACACATTTTCATTGTAACTGACATGTATGTTAGGCACATGATGAAACCTGCAAGGAAATGGAAGTAAGCAACTTATATGACAGTTAATGGATCCAAATAGTTACTAAGAGCGCCTGGTTAAAAGAATGGTGCTTAGTAAGAAGTTTTTCCAACTACGTCTCACTAGCTTTAAATATCTGGGTGTGACTATAGTCCGAAATTCATATGTACCATGTTTAATTTCTCACTTGATTACTGACGAATCGCGCAGGAAGTTCGATTGGTTTTGGGTCCATTACAATGGTAATTTCACCTCGACATCCATGGAATTGCCACTAATTACGTTCGGACGTCCCTTGTAAGTATCATACAGGGATACATCATTGGGGACGAGAGAACTGTTGATTAAGGAACATGCAGCACCCGAATCTAGCAAAATTGTAACTAGGTGGTTAAATAAATTACCACATAATATTTGGGCGAACGGTCTATCATCATCACACGAAATCCACAGAAATGGAGCAATCGACATTGAATGTCTCCTTGATATACCCGCTCTCTTTGTGCACAATTGAGTAGAGGCGGTAATATGGTTCTTTTGGATGGCTATTGTGGGAATTGCCTATATCACTCAGACAATTGTAGGAATGATCATTTAAGTATTATTTAGCGATAAAAACATTCCCTTTCGTGAACAGCATCGTCTTGTGAGGAGTATCTCAATCTAGGTTTTCACAAAACTACGTTATATAAGGTAGTTTTGTAAAAGGCATGTATTGCTTCGACCTAAGTCTTCAGTACGCGCACAGATTATCAAACTGGTTTCAGTTTTTTCAACTCGCGAAATCGTTGTATACAGCAAACTCAGTATACTGAGATTTATTTATTTTATAATCCGTATAGTTACATTGGTTTATGTACTTCGGAGTTACGGGAAGACTTTCGTTTGCTCTGAGATGAGACTAACGGAAATACTCATCGGTCTATATGTGGGCTCGTAATCAATTGCATTTGCATCCCGTTAGTTCACAAAGCATTAATACAGTAATTTCCACAGTAGTTTGACAAACAATTATTTAGGTTTTGTTTAGAGTGTGCAGTGGGATTATGGAACGGTCTAATTGACATTCATGTATGCTAGTCTTTTTGTTCGGGTACATATGGACTCACAAAATGATAAAACTTCATAAGGTGTGCTATATGATGGCTTGCTGACTAAAGTCATTGAGTTCACTATAGTTGAACATTCACACTTGCGAATAACTAAATATTTATTTGATCTTATATAGCAAATATTCACTTGTTATCTTGCTTACACAAGTTTTAGTAAAATCTTTTTAGACTATCAATCATAGCCCAGATAAATAAGTTCTTTTCACTTTCTAAGACCAAGTTTCGCCAGCCGATTCATAAATTCTGCATTATTCACTCACTATGATAACATAAATTTTAAAAAAAATAATCACCTCATTTTCCTTCTTACAGATCTCATATTTCTGTGTTTGAATTATTTTTTCTTAAATCACAGTGTATATTTACTCTATTTTCGTCTAAAACAGGTATGGGATAAAAACATAAACTGTATAGCTTGAAAATTGGTTCAAACGCATCTTAGGTTGATAAAATAGATTAGTTTTAATTAGGAAACGGTGACAATGTGGTCTCACGAAGTCTTTGAGTAGCAATATAACTATGTTTGGAATGCGTTTTCTATACTTTGATTACTAACATGTTGCTTTTGGACTGATCAACATTATGTGGATTATTCATTACGAGTAAAGTTAGTGGTCTGTTATGTATTACTATATGACAAACATGATCTTTGGATGTAGACGTGAGTTGCAGTTTTGTGATCATTGATATCTTTGTCGCATTGCTCAGGTATCCTAGGAAGATTGAGTAAACATTGAGGTAAAACACGAAGTACTAGAGGAAGATAGGGAATCGAGTAGTGTGGTTAAAAACTTTTATCGTCAGAGGTAGTTGGGCATGTTTTACGTATGTCTAAATGTCATCTATCTTGAGGGTCTATGCTAGCTGGTGTAGGAGTAGGTTTGAAAAAAACTAAGCTAGGTCAAAAGAGAAAGATGTATCAGTTCATAAAATCAATGATTGTTGGTCTGAGCCGTATTAGCAGGTACGGGCTACCTGGTTGGGGCCCGCCCGACAACCACAATTACTGGTTGGAGGCGTTAAGTAAAGTAGCTCTGAATTGGTCTCGGTAGAGCTAATAGATTTACTGTCCATCTTACTTTAGATTTTAAGTCCCAGTATTCTTTCATCCTTTTTTCATTCCGTCTCCTCAAACCATATCAATAAGTTAGCCTTTTTCATCATTACTGTTACATTATTTCTACTCGGCCATTCATACTTCTGATTTTATTTTGTCTTACTGATGTGGTTTGACAGCCGTACGTTGGTTAGGACTAATTGGCCAACTGTTAACTGTTGTAAAATGAGAAAAGATTTTCGTCTCTTTCGCAAATTTTGGAACTAAATAAAATATGTGACAGTAGGGATAGGATCATCCTAAGTTGATAGGGAAATCTAATCAAATAATCAAAATATACATATAACCAATCAGTCGTCAATAATAATACAACTAGAAAGTCTTTGATTATTTACGTTGAACTGCTCTTATTATATTTCTGTCTAGAGGGTTAAGAAATTGTTCATATTTAAATATATTTTCTTAACACTTCGTATGATTTAGTGTTTCCAAATTGAAATATTATATCTTTACTTTTTTCGTGTAAAATTTCTCTTTATCATTTTTAAATCTTTTAGATAGTGTTTAAGTTGATTGATGTTTAACATATTTGAAAGTAATAAAGATAATACAACTGAAGATGGAAGGCTATTGTATATCATTTTCAGCCTACTTTATATTTTTGGAGGAGCGGTTCCTTATATTCCACAATATTTAAAAATTCGCAAAACACAATCTATTAAAGGTTTTTCCTCATTTGTTTGTCTTATACTTTTAATATCGAATGTTCTAAGAATATTGTTTTGGTAAGTTTTTCATTATTTCATTTACTTATTATGTTTTTAGTGGAATAAGTAGTTACCCCTTCTTTTTCGAAACCAAACTGAAAATCATTGCGTTATAAGATAATGTTTCAAGTTTTAAACGTATATGTTTTTTATAATGAGAACTGTTCGATAAGGTATACATGACAATTAGATACTATTAAGACGATAGTATATACTGTTTCTCCTACTAAAGTCTTGGTTTTTAATGTTTCATCTGGGACGTTTATTTATTTACTTAGTACTTTAATATTACGAAAGATTGAAAGATTATTACTGAATATTTATTTTACAATGGACTCTATCATATAATCACAACCGTCCCGCACTATTACTATATTAGTGCCATATTTGGGTAAAGTGTGCTTCAGAACCCTACAAAGCTGGTCACTCCAAGTTTGTTTCTTAGTAGTAACCACATGACTTGAAAAGCATGTTTAACTTCATGCACTCGGCTTCAAGTTAAATTCTCGTGTGAAGACTAGTTTACCAAGTGACTCCCGATATATAAAGAATTGAAGTGGGGCTCTAATTTCCAGAGATGGCTGTAAGTTGATTGCTTTAATCACTAAGCAACTACTCCTAAAAACGCCTCTTATTATTATAAAACAACCTACCACGTTCGTTTATTGTGAATCGTATTCTGATTTTTTCGACATTTAAAGTACTAGTTTATTGAATTACAGTCAAGTGAACCATGTTCTGCCTGAATTTTTAAATTTGTTGTATGGTACTAATATGACGGGCATGAATCAGTCTGGATAGTCAGGCCTTAATTCGTTGGAGAATGAGTGACTTAAGAACTGATTTCTTCCAGTCACCTATGTTATTTTACTGTGCTATTTTTTGTGTTTGTTTTATTTATAGGCATCTAGTCCTTTTTTTATCACATAAGCATGTTATTCCGATTAGTGGTCTTGTTTTTGATTTCAAAGCATTCAGGGGTTCACATCAACAGTCAGGTCTTGTAAGCAGTCGTCACAGCCACATTGTATCACTCCATATCATCTGCCGATTAGGATTCTTTACCTTGACTAACAATCGAAAATTCGCTTGCCAGATCATTAGAATTCTAATCTGTAGCAAATAGTTCATTATATTACCAATTTAGTTTGTACCACCTGTGGCTTGTTTCTTATTGTATAAAAGGATTGATCAAATATAAATATATTGTTATGCTTTTCTTTGCTTTGCAAGTATAGTTTATCTAAATAAAAAGTTGTGCAATATTGAGGGGAGCAGAGTACATATCATTTTGATAACATCCAGAAAGCATATAAAGGAGGAGCTAGATGAACGATAATCACGAAAACTGGGAATTTAGTTGGGGCCATTGTTTTTTATCTCATTGTTTCATGTCGAAGTATCTTCTGAATTTCTACTCTCTCCAATTTAGTGCCACATCATGTCAAGCTTTAAGTCACTTTGCACCATCTCTAGGGTATTGTTCAAGAAGTTGCGGTACACTTATATACTCTCATCCAACACCTGTAGTTTATCTCACAGCGTCTTTCATAAGTAATTCCGTCTTTCAACCACTTATGGCGGTAGCAATTACTACTCATCGTGATAGTCTCTGAGAAGGTAATGTCTCTACTGTTGTATTACTTACAAAATTTGAATATTATTGTCGAATTAACAAGAATTTCGGAGTGAACATTGGCATAGGATTCAAAGTTTGTTTTATTGGTCCATAAATAGAAAGCCTTAACCTGACCACAACCCAGTTTGTATAAACTCTTATGTACTGATCAGTTTAACCTCCCTTCCCATACATATTCATGCATTATTTTCTCGTTATAGGTTTGTACAGCCATTTTCAACCGCCTTAGTTTTTCAAAGTTTCATTATGATTGCTACTATGCTTATTCTACTGAGAGCTATTACTCAGTTGTCTAGCATAAAGCGTTCTCCGTCTATGCCATGTACAACCAGTATTAGGAAAGTAGAGACAGAGACTTGGAATATCAATCAGTTCCAAGGTGAGTTGTTAAAGTATTAGAACGTTTCAAAATATTGGTTTTTTGTTTCAGTGATTTGTTTGTTTCAAATGCCTCTCGAAGATTGTCCTTGTTAATTGAGTTTTAACGTTTAGGCGAAATTTTGCTTTCAGATGATTAAATTATGCAATTGTATTCTTTTAATGATTGCAGAGTTGTAAATCATCTGGATATTGATTTATTTAATTTGGTTAAGTTATCGAACTGTATTTGTAGATGTATTAAGTGCATCTAAAAGTCTATTATAAAAATCTGTCCGCGTTTATTAAGTCAAATTCACCTTGAAAATGAAGATATGGACAATTGTTTTTTCATGTGATCATGAGGTTATTTCCAATCTTCGTATATTGACGATGTTTTATGATTCATACTGGAGACAATATGGGTCGAGTGCAGAGACGCCAAAAAGTTTTCTTGAAGTTGTCGTAGTAAAAAAGGTTCTTGAACAGATTAATGATAAAGTGATAAAACGTCCGATTCAGTGCGTTCAGAGAATTTCGGAAAAAGATATAGGAATACATCTTAGGAATAGGTTAGAAATAAGCATTGTAATGATTTCCTTTCTCAACCTAATATCTGTTTTATCCTTTTTTATATGTATTTGAACTATCTCTTCCGTAAATTTCATGAATAAGGACCTTAGATACTACAATAAGTGACCGAATTGTTACATGGGGTGCCCTCCTTGTGTTAAGCGACTGTACATCGTAGCATGAGTTGTTTGATGCTAGGTGTTTGAGAGTGGTCGATTGGAACAATTTAGTAGTATCTGTTCTGCTCTTGAAACTGTCGGCTGTAGTCCTATAAGAAACTTCAGCATTTTATAAATGCCAACCAACAAGTAACCGAGGTTCAGGGTTGTTTGACATTAAATAAGCCCATAACTAGCTGAAATATTTTCTACCAAAATAGGGTTAAGTTGACTAAATATACGCATTATTCAATCATTTCATGTTGAAGAATTTTAAAAGTAGTAACCATATTATGGTGACCTTTTCAATAGATTTCTATTGCTCTGAGCTGTCGCTTATTACCTGAAGGAGATAGCCGATCACTCTATGGCATAAGTTCTTATCTTTTTTTATAATAAAATGACGGCACATTGGTTATAGCATTCTTTTCGTTTAGACCATAAGTGGTTGGTCATGTGATTATGTCAGTACTGATACTAGTTAATATTCACAATGTTCGTGCACACTCATCTTAATATGCTTGATGATATAAAACATTAAATCTATCACTTTTATTATGATCAATATACAACTTTTAACTACACGATCACCTTTGTTTTCTGTCAGTGGATGGTGGATATGGCTATACGCGTAAAACTTCTCAAAGTTTTCATAGGCACCGTTATGCTTGGTGGTCAAAGCGTGATGAAGAGTTAGGAGCAGGAGCTATATCTGGTTAACCCCGGAAACTTCCAAGTCGCCCGAGCTGCTAACAGCTAGATGCGTAGTGTAAATGAAACATCCTATTTGCTTAATGGCACGCCGATTAGTAATCTTCAAAGACACTTTGAATGCTAAGTAGGGTACTTTGTGGGTTAGTTTAGCTGGTTTCCTACTACTCAAACAGTATCAACAAACCTGTCTTGTTCTTGGAATGTGTCTATCAGTACACCGAACTAGGCGGAGTTCCAGAACGAACTCCAGCTTCTGGAGCATTCCTAGTCATTAATCTCAGACAATCTACCCTCAACCCTTTTCAACGATAGAGGGAAACATCTGTTCAGAGAACTTACCAAACGGTTTGGAAAGATTTAACAATTTAAGAGCGTTTTATCGTCCTGGACTGAAGCGATTGTCGATTCATATCTTTGAGGGGTCTATTTAAAGGTTGCAATATTTTTGATGGTAAGAGTCTTATAATTGCATCTAAACTATGCTTCTAGAGTTGTGAAATTCTTGTAAAAAACTGATATATGATAAGCAGATGAATTTTCTTTTGTTTTGTTCGATCATTTCTGACATTTCATCTACATCGATCATTTCCTAGAGTTTACTCATGTTTGTTTGATACTGTAGTAATAGTCCGTTTAGTATCATGGTCTCAGATCATCGGGTTAGGTGGGTTATGTCATTTCAGCTGCTTCCAAACTGTGCATTAGGTGCTTACTCTAATACTGGGTGAAAAATCGAAATCACTAGTTCATAGCACATCACCGTGGAATGATAGGTTGTTGCATACGACTAGCAGCTATTAGCCTAATTTAATTTCCTGATTGGGTTTATTATGATAATGCAGCTCAATAGTCTGATATGTCAGATATAGGTTAAAGCAGAGCTCAATGGTAATCTGGCTGTAGTTTTTTTTCACAGTTCTTATAAACACGAGAGTAATTCTAACTGTAAGAAGTCTTCTTTTTATTTTTGACTGGATTGTATATTTTATTAAATACCATTCTTGTTTATTTGTTCATTATTAATATGACGTTTCCCGCTTCTATTTTCTCATACTGTCATTCTACATTGCGTAGTAAATTCTTCTGAATGCCTTTTACCGAAATGTTTATGTGTTATAAATAAACATTTATTCTGAGCAAATTGTTCATGCTTAAGATTAAATTATGTGGAAGTATGATTAATTCATTTTTGGAATAAGTTGTTTACTTTATGAATGGCGATTACGTGTGTTGAATACATGGATGTTTAATCAAGAGTATATTCTGTTACCTAACCTGGAAGACATCAGAAATTACAATGCGATTATTGAAGCCGTTTGGAATAGATGTAGCTTACAAATCCACAAAATCACTTCAATCAATCCTATGCAAACCAAAAGACTAGATGACTAAAGAACAAAAACCTTCCGTGATCTAAAAAATAAACTGTTCCAATCACTAAAAACGCTACATCGGGCAAAGTGGACAACCCCTTTATCTTTGTCTCCACGAACACCAATTAGCGGCCAAACGCCACGACATATCCTCGCTTATATCAATGCATGTGGACAACTGTAGATATATTCAACTGAAGAAATGTTGAGATCTTGGATAGAAGGAATACTAAAAACACCAGAGGGTTTTTAGAAGCCTGGCACCGAGGTCAATTAGCAATCACCAAATGCATTGAAATCGATCCGATCTATCAAGTAATCAGAAAAATTACCAACATATGGTTGTGGAAATCATGAATCGATCAATGTTAGACCGCTGTTGAAAACCTGGAAGCACTGAACTGCCGTCTCGTCATAGGATGAGACTCCTTAGCAGTGCTCATCCACAATTCCGCGTGAGGGATCTAAGACTACTAATCTTTATAGTAGTGCTATAGAGATTTTCAGAGTGGGAAATACTTGGATTTATTGAAGCGTTAAGAACGAAATGAAAATTGTAAACTTTAGTGATTTGTTTAAAAATCAGTATGTACATACTCTCGTGATATTGATTTTACTTTTAACATTATTATAGTATAGGTAATGTTGTTCTCTTGCATTATACACCTTTTTTATGTTTTCCCATTGATTTATAATTTGATCCTTTCATTTCTGTAAATATCTTGACATATTAATTTATAATCATGTTTGACAGAGTGTATTTCCCTTGTAAATAATCGAACCAAATTAACATTTTTGCTAATCTTATTTGGTTATTTATTTATCAAACCGCTAAACGTCATAAATTCTATTTCCTACTCATTGGATATCAAAAATATATCACTATTTCACTTCTAATTCCCATTTTAGTAGAATTGGAAATTTATTAAGAGGAAATATTTAACTAGTAAGAATAATTAAATGAGTGAATGTATATTGTATCATTAACATTGACCCTAGTATTATTAATATCCCATCAATTTTAGTGTATTATCTCGCAGTCAACCGTAATAACGAGGAATTCCCTTCTCCGGTTTGTTTTATGTTTACATTTCGCATAGATATCTGGCTTCGTAATTTTTGGAAATGGACACATTTCTCTAACTATTTATTATTCCTATGTTTATTTACACTGATTTCCGGTCTGTGCACTTACTTATTGTCATCGAGTCAAATTTATATTCAATTATTGGGCTTTACTGCCTTGTTCATCGAATCTATGTTGGGTTTACCACAATTTACGAAGAATTATTATAATAAATCGATTGTTGGAATGAGGTAAGTGGTTAGTAGTTTAATTTGAGAGTTTTCTTACCTGAAGACAGGCAAGTGAACAGACAGCCATATCGTTTTTCAATGACTCTCCTCTTAACGTAAAATGGTCCAAAATAGTCTATACCAACAGAATTGAATGGTGGTACGTAAGCTTCCAGGTGATCTGTGTGCACGGCGTAGTGTTGAGTTTCTTGCATAAGAAGCACTGTTACAGGACTCTTTGGATAGCAGCCTGAGCTTTAATGACCCAGAACTCTTCGCGGAAACTGTTCAGGGTGTGAGTAATACCAGAATGCGCGTTCTGCAGATAATAGTGCATTACGACCAAGTCACTAACAAAATGATTACTAGGAAGTATAAGCCGATGTTTGTTTTCGAAGGGCAAGCACGATAATTGAAGTCGTCCCTCTACTCGAATGACATCATTTATTACGAAGGGATTAAGATTATTCATCGGGCTCCTACGCGCAACACTTCTCATTTTCTTACCAGCAGACATTAGATGGAGTGTCATTTCCTTATTCGAAACAGATTCATTATATCAGTCTTTCTTGTGATTCACATGTACTGCCGTGCTCGTTTTTATGCTGTATGCGCCTTAGCGTCTCCATCTCTATGGGGAATGAGATTATTTCAACCAATTTAATTATATTTTGTTTCGCGCTATCAATTTCTCTCAATCTCAATCTACCATGAATTAACGGTCTTCCGTCTAATCTCATCCTCATATTGTGGACGAACCGTTTGTATAGAGCGAATATTCTCAGCATTTTGGACCAGGTCTTACAATTACTAAATTTTGAAAAGAGCAAGAACAAACATTCTAGCAGAATAGCATGAATTCATTTTTATTTCGTTGGTTCTCGTCAGCTGCTTACAACCTGTGATATTTAAAATCATAATTAATGGGTTTAAATTACTTACATCAAAGAGTTTGATTGGAAGTTATATTAATGACATATTCATATAGTATAGCAAGGGTGTAAATAAATTTAATAGACTGAATATTGTAAATATATACCTTATGTGATGAAAGAACATTGTGACAACAGTTCAAACGGTTAGAAACAAATAGATCTTGATAGGAATAAAATGAGTAGAGTTCAGTTGATAAAATAAGATGGAATAAAACTCAATGGTGTAATAAATGCAAGAAAGAGTTTAAGGAAAAAGGAAAAAAATTAATAAAATATAACGAAGGAATATTAATCACCAAGGCAAGGAAAGATTAATGACCATCTCCTTTTGAACACATAAATCAGGTTTTTGGCGTCTGATAGCAACTGCTTCAGCAAACTTCAGAAGACTGGAGTTTAACTGCTTACTAATCACCTTGAATGATTGATTCAAAAATCGGTCTAAATGACTCCCCGCTAATGTTTCGTCTAATTCTTCTGTAAACAAGTGGGCTAAAACATGGTTCTCCTCTTCGCATGAATTTGACCAGCCACTTTCGTTCTGCCATAAAATGTTCGGTCCGTGAAACCACTCTTTTTTATTTTGATGCTATCATCTAACGACAATCCACACGAAGCATGATCCGCAGGATTCTGTTTACTTTTAACATATTTCCATTGGCTTGCTGTAGACAGCTCGTGAATCGTTGGTAAGCTATTGCTTACGAATCTCTCAAATCTTTTGATTGTATTTCTTATACAATGAAGTACGACCAATGAATCCGTCCAATAAGTGACAGAGATAGGGATGCGTAATTGTTGTTCCACGTGTTTTCCAATCTTAGCACACAGTACAACAGCTGTTAATTCTTCTGACTTCTTCATATCCCTTTTTTCCTCTTTCCAACTTTATTTCACTGGATTATACTCCTTGAATAACATCTATAAACCCTAATCTTTCCGATTACTGCTTATACTTTTACTACCTCTACCACTACGGGATTTAAATCGACAACTGCATCTCTATGCTAATGTGGTATGGCAACTCGAACTGATGTACGTACGTACGAAGTTCTACGTTGTTACTAACTGACTAGGAATGGTTACAGGTTTCAGTGGGCCAACCATGAACTTAGCTAATAGAAAGGAACAATGAACTTGATGGGAGATATCCTCAAAACGACCATAAGCCACAACACCATATGCAAATCCTGAGGCATCGGCAAAGCGAATGAATATTAGTACCCAGTGGTTTGTACGACTATGGTACGAGACATCTGGAAAGTAACAGTTCACTTATGCGCCTCATACTTCTGAGCTAAGTCCCATCTCATAAAGTACTCCCTAGGAAGCTCTGCGTCCCGTGCCAGATTGTACCGACAAGTATGTTGCAAAATTAATTTAGCTGGTAAAACAACGAGCTGTAAACCCAACTGGGTCGAATATAGAAGCTACATACGACAAAATGGTTCTCCTTGTAGGAGTCGCATTGAATTCACACAACCTGAAGATCTTATCCGTTCAAATATTCCACTTTATTCATAGAGTCCTTTCATTTCTTTCCATAGATAAACAAATGTCTTCGTTTCTTTCTACGCGGTCTTCCTTTGGAACAAACTTCAATTATTCAACATTGTTACTGCATCATTTGGTCAGATTAAAACCCCCTAAACGTAACATTTCCTCCAGCTGAGAATATATTAATTTAGCTTCTAACGTATTAACACTGGTTGATAACTTGGTGAGGTCGCACCAAACAAATGTACTTTCATCTTACAAGTTTCTGGTTCAGTTCTTATGTCACCCTGCGGCCACCATAAAAATTTAAGGGCATCGCGATCCTGTGGCGATACAATCACTTGATGAAACATAGCTTCAAAATCCGCCGTGAGACCAATTGACCGTTGCCGAAATTTGATGAAGTCATCTACCAAATTGTTAACTAAATCTGGACCAGAATACGGTGTATTGCGCTGCACAGTCGAATACGATTCTTAGCTTATTAAGTTTTTTTGGATGGAAGAAAGGGTGGTGCGGTAAATACCAAACCCGACACCTAACGAAGTTCTCTGTAGCCTTTCCGGCGTAGCCCCGATCAACATACTATGCCATCACATTAACATATTCTATATGCAACCTCTGGTCACGGATGAGCCGGTTTCCCAAGGAATTTAATTTACTCATAGTTAGTTTTTTATTATTATGTAGGCTTTGGTGGTGACGCCAGGGCAAAGCTATTTGGTAATGCGTGTTCACTAATTGTGTAGATTTGGACGTAGCATTTAAGGCTTTACGATCTTCAGCCGACATGGGCGCATGTTGATTCGGGTCTTCTTCAAAGTCCATCTTATATAACTGGTCTAATATAGCTTCTAGTTCGTCTTTCGACAATAGATAATTTATGATACCCATATTTCTCGTGGTCTCACTGTAAGGTCCAAACAACGTCCACCCTAAAGGAGTTTTTATAGCGTATGGTTCGTTAGATTTTCCCACTCTCATTTTTATCTTATGTGCCTCAGGTACATTGTACTTGACGTCTTTGATGTCAACTCTTGGGAGGGTCACACCGCAAGTAAGACCACGATGCCATCTGATATGTTGTTGATACCGTCCCACGAAACATAGATAATCTCTCGACTGTCCACACCTTTGAAATTCTGAGTGATGAAGAAGAATCTAAGGGGCAAACTTCTAGTTGGATCTCATTACAATGAAATGGGGATTGGCTATTCAAAGTTTTCAATAAAAGCGTCTTGAACTCTTCCTCTGAACCCAACTTTCTAGCTAAATATTCTGTAATAAGCGAAGCGTCTGAGCCATTATCTAGGAAAGCGCAAGTGTGTACTGCCCTTTCTCCATTTTTTTTACCAATACAGGTACTATTGCAAATGCTACTGCTCTCAGTACACGCTTAGCACTTTCCTCCGTACACAGTTGGGTATTGATATGCACATTACTATTACTGTCTCCCTACTCTTCCCGCTTGCTGTTTAACAAGGTGTGGTGTCTCCAGTCACATCCTTCGACGGCACATGACCTCGGTGCCCGACGGTTTCTTGCTTTGTGGTTCGCCTTCAAACAGACACCGCACAACGTCTTTAATACAAACTCTATCCTTTCATTGATATCCTTATCTCTAAACCTTTCATATTGGTCTAAGGGGTGGTTTCCAGTACATAACGAACATGAAAACTTAGAGGTGTTTGATCTTACGTGTGAAGTGACATCAGACCCACTCGTGTTAGCGAACGACTCTCGCCTTATACTCTGAATGAAGATTTTCTTAGTAACAACAGCCGACTGCCTTTTGTTTCGTTTAGAACGATCTTCACTGACAAGTAATCCGTATCTGGTATTAACAATATCCGACTGCTCCTTCACAAATTTGTAAAGGTCCTTAAATTATGGCTCTCTACTCTTCTTAAGAATCCTGCATGCCACTTTCGCCCATTCTCTTTGTAAGTGTGGTGGGAGTTTCAAAAAACATACTCTCGATAGCCTTTGTAGAATTCAGATCGGATACGTGTGTTAGATCACAAATGTGCGTCTCACAAGATAGTCTTCTTAAATTATCTGGATTAGTCCCCTTAATAGCAGGGATGTTCAGCATCTTGCCAATAAATGCATGAGATACGATGTGCTTCCTCGAGAAGCTCTAACTCCTTACGATAGCCTTCTTTTGGTTCAAGCTGTACACAATGAACAATAGTAGATTTAGCTTTACCGTTAAAATACTGAATTAAATAATTTAACCTAGATCGACTTTCAGCACTTGCATCGAAGCAGTTTACAAAATTCCGTATGAAACTCCAATATTTCACGGGATTACCGTCAAACATGATCTCTCTTTTTGGTAGGTCCATAGCTTTAGATATCATTGTTACTCAGTCCTTTCCAGGAGGAACATCAACTGCACGTTAGGCAGATGTAAACTTGTACGACGTCACCTTGTCAGCCACAACTTGACTATAATGCTCTCTCCCCTTTTGACATAACCTTTCCAACTCAATTTCTCTTTCTGTCTGAGCTAAGCGTACTTTAGGTAATTCTAACTAACAGGGGATCCGTTCGGTAGCTGTTCTCGAATCTTTGTAGGATTTAATTTGTTCTACAGACATTCTGCTAGAACTGCAAACGTGATACTCGCGACCCCAGAGTCTATGTGAAAGCTCTGAACAGAACAAGGACAACTTGGCTTTAAACTTTATCTGTTTTTAAAAATGAAAACAATTAGATTAGTACAGTAATTAAAGGAATTATAATCATTAAGTGAAACGCATCAACATACCGACCAGTATTGCGTGTCTTATCGAAATGAATAAAAATGAGTCACACTAATATAATAAGATAATACTGTCCTTCAATTGGTAGGTTATATGCAACGGGGATAGTCTACAGACACATCAAACCAGATTGACGTGGTGAGAGCTTAAGCAACAATTTGATTGGTTAGTGATGGACATAGCTAACACGAAGTTCTCACTGACGTTTATTATTGTACAAACCTTTTGATGAACCATCTAAAACTTTTTGAGCCAGAGACAAACAGGGATACTAGATTGAATCCTTACAAAGTAGATTAAATAATAATAAATAGAGGCTACCTACCACACTTCCTTGAGTTGTAGCGTTTGGATGGGAGGAAAACCCGGTGAACTTTATGGATCAGTTTCGGTGGTTTCATTACTACATTAATCTAAGTGAAGTTCAAACAAACAATGGAGCTCTACTTGTATGGATTTATGCCACACACATGTCTAGCTCTCAGGAATGTAATGTTAACACTGAAAAAAATAAATTATAATAAATATTGTTTTCATTTCTTGAAAAATATCAACCGATTAGTTGTTCGGGATGCAGATAATCTAGATATCGAAATTAATTATCTGTTTATAGTACAGAGCACTAAATCACATATAACCCTGATCTTTCACGACTGTCTTATTAAAACCTAAGAGTTCATTTCCTGGTTATCGATAAATTTATATTTAAAATTAGTTTCTATAGTTCTTATTCAATTTTGAATATGTTTCACCAGTAATTGTAACATTTTGGAAGAATCAATATGAATTCTGATTGTTTCTGGCATTTATCGAACTATCTTGTGAAATTCCCTTTGAATGTATATATATATATATATATATATATATATATATATATATATATATACCGATCAATTATAATTTAATATAATAGTATAGAATTCTAGAAAAATACTGTTTAGCTAATTAAATCTTAATCTAACTGTACTAGTTTACGTACTTTTTTTTGAAGACTCATTCATTAAAGTTTGCCTTTTAAGTTGCACTTTATCGTTATTGTTGATTTTGTTTGGTTGCTTTTCACATTAAGTAAAAAAAGATTCTTTTTAATGGACTAGTTTTGTTTCAATTCATTTATTCTATTGATTACATTAGCAACTCGATGAATTTGAATTGTATGCAATTTAATCGATTTTTAATGCTCTCTAGTTGATCAAATTTAAATGTATGCGGATTTAATTATATGAAGGTAATTTTCGTCATGAAGGCCTTGGAAAACAGTGTCAGTTGTTTTATCTGGGTTAAGGATCCCTAAATAACTTATACATATAGTATCGCACGACATCTAACAGAGAACGATCGACACTGTGATTTACACCATACCTTTGGCTGACTGAATTAGAGTTCAATGTCGATATTTCCGAATTCAATGGATATCTGAAATAATTAAGGTAATAAGTAACTTGTTTGTCAGTTAACATTTTTAGATACCTTAAAAAAGGTTACCAGTCCGGCTCACGATTAAATACTGTTTTTTCTTTGAATTCAGTTAATTGATGGTGTTAGGAAAGGAATAAAATAAATGAAATTTATGCATTTTCAAATGCAAAACTATTACAATGAAATGAATTAGACAGATGACTCACAAATCTTGAATAGTATAATGAAGTATAGTAAGATAATAATCAGGAGTATTGTATAATGATAAAAATTAGGATCGTGATAATGAAAGCGCGTGTACCGAATATTCGATTAATTCTGAAAACTTAATAATGCTATTATTTATTTATTTGAACACGTAAACATTGGTGCAAGAAGGCGCTAAATACATATGCATCACACAGCAATGCTGGTGTGAAGAGATAGAGAGTGGGGGTTGAGTAAGACAGTAAGACGATATCGTCCGCATCTTCAAGGTCGAAGTCTTTCTCCCGACAGCAGATCCGCAGATCCTACATCCATCGGAGCTGTTTCCAGAACGTCATCGTTGGCAAAGTTGGAGAGGAATAGTGAGATCGGGCAACCGTGACTAAACATGTCAAATTGATGTAAAACTTGCATATTTCTATTATCATTATCAGATTTACAAAGTTGAAATCTGGGAAGCTTTTAGTAGTCAGACTGTTGATCATGATTTGATTGATATACGTTAGTCGCAAGTAGCATGGATGATTTAGTCTCATATCATGTGTCGAGTTGTCAACGATTTCACTTTTTGAAGGTTAGAGAACTTGTTCCACCAAATCTTTAAAAGTTGATTACTTTTCATTTGTGACTGTCAACAAATTGTCTTAAATTTAACATAAATTCAAACTGATATTATTATCTTTCATTTTTTTGTCATCTTCAGTATTTCAATGGTGTTAATGTGGACTTCAGGTGATATATTCAAAACAATTTACTTTATATTAGAAAATGCCCCATTACAGTTTCTAATGTGTGGTTTACTACAGATTGGATTAGATTTAGCCATTCTTCTACAATGTTTATTTTATAGAGGTGAAGAATTTACGTGATATGAATGTTACAATTGATTAAGTCAATATGGACAGCGAAGACAGTGGTGTCAGTTTGTATGTGATTGTGGATAGTAAAGTTTCTTTTCTTGTTTATCTGAAATATTTATCATTTTGTACTTCGGTTGTAGAGAGATCTTTTCTATTCCCATCGATTTCACCTACTAATTCTCTTTTTATTTTGAGATATCATCTAGGTGACATTGTATATTTGTCCAATTTTTGTGATTGTTCACTTTTGTATTTTCTCTGCAATTCTTATGTATTTCAGCTCAAAGTAAACTTGGAGCGATTACTATAACCCTCTGATTATGTCATTTTTGTCAGATTGTTCGGTCTACTATATGTGATAATGAAGAGTTTATAAACAGTTAATAAATTTATCGCTTTAGGATTGACATCCTTCTGTTTCACTGATTAACTTAGCTCTTCTGTAGTATACACATTGAACAGCTGTTTATTGACAAAGATCATCCATTAAAGTCGACAACTGATGAGTGTTTCTGATTAAATGAAATCCATACATTTAAAAGTGTAATTCTAATCGCAAGACTTGAATGTTTAGATGATTAGGAAGAAATGAATTAAGTTTGATATTTAGGTCATAATTTCATCGTCAGTTGAGTGACCCGTGAAATATGTACCATTCAGTAGATCATCTTCCAATTACTCTTTTGTTCAACATTTCGTATGTAGGGATTTCATGTCATCAATTGATTGGCACTGATTTCATCAATTTTAACCATCTGAAACTCGTTCACCATTCATGATTAATTCTGATTCATTCGTATCTTCAGCTATGTTTACACGGTGATAAAAAGCCTTGAACCAAGATTAGACAGGTGTCTAACGTTGTCTCTTAATCTTTAATATTTCTCCAGTCGTGATATCAGTTCATGATCATAAGGTGATTAATTTGTCTACCCAAAAACTAATCGTTAAGTTAGGGCAGCCACTAGTGTTAAGTGATTAATTTATGGTTGTCTGCTTAGTTAGATTAGATCTCTGTATTCATATAAGCTTAATCAATTATTGGTCGTTTCTGGCTAAAACACACATCTGAATAAACAATTTCTTCCGATTACTTCATTGAATATGTACTGCTTGTGGAAAACGGTTATTATGACTGCTTAAAAAATGGATGACTAGTTCATCCACCTAACCAGGGATTATCGACCATTTAGGTCATTGAACTAATCACAGATTATATGAACTGCAAGCTATATATTATTCGACGGATTGAGCTTGTCTCCTCTTATTGTTTGTCTGAAGTTAACAAGCCTTGGAAGCATGCGTTAACGATTGAGTGAAGGAGCAGTTTATGTTTGTAATCCAGTTATTGATATAGATTGTCCGTGCTATGTGGGTTGTAATCCTGCTTTGCTTCGGGCACCCGGGCAGTATCCCAGCCTTCACACAAATCGAATGATTTATGTGGCGCATATCTATTTGGTGCCTTCTTGTACCAATGCTTGTGTTTTCAAAATAAGTAGATGCAATAAAATGAATTCGTTGCTTTGATTAGCTTTCAACATCGCTTGGACGTTTTAATACAACAGTACATAGAGAGTAGTTAGTATGGATCCAGTCAACTAGCGAAATTCGGGCTCTAGCGTCGGATGGAATATTGAAAAATGAACGTAAACTTTATGGTGTTTTTGGATTTATAAGTGTAAAACCTAACTATTTTACTTAACAAATGTATAGAAGTTGATGAAGTCATGAATTCAGATTTCTGGTTTACATCATACACAAATGACTAAACTTGTCAAAATTCTAATCATATCTGTCGCTTTTTTGATCGACATTTTAAATAGCAAGTCATAATGATACGTGATGTTTTAAAATTACTGGATTAAACACTACTAGAGTGACACTAAGTGAGAGAAAGCGAGGACTTATGAACTTGGAAGGAGATTTATATTAATCAGAACATTCAAAAATGACTGGATGCTGAATGAAATAGGGTATAAAAAAGTAGGAAGTGTGTTAGAATACAGTAGATTTAATGAGTAAGGTTATTTATTATGATATGGAACTAATAAAGTATTTATAAAAGGAATTCCGTATACTCTTCATCTAACTGTCATGGTTTGTAATAACTGGTACTGGATGGTGCGTACGAACCGAAATGGATAACTTTCGAGCCAATGACATAGTAGAGGTCAGTAAGGAAGCATTCAGTTAGCTACAACATAGGACCAGGCACATATATGCATCGGTTCAAGTTGCCATACCTCATTAGCACAACAAGATGAACACCGAATTCATAGAAGTACTTAATTCAGTGATAGTAATATATAAAAGAAAGGTTGAATATAAGGATGTAGTATAGAATGAAAGGATTAGTTCGTAGAAAGAAAGATATGAAGTGGTTTTAATCTCACGGTTTAAGGGAGGACAAAGTGTATACACTGACACCATTGTGATAGATTCTAAACCATGCCATCCCGAGTCTCCAACCACTAGTTACGATAGTCACGCGGACCGCAACCAAGTAGTCTGCATCTGCCAACATGGCTCAAACCAGGAATTAGTGACTTCAAGCACTGATGCCACGTTTCGGTTTAACCACCCCTAACTTTCTTCCAACCATTCCATACACTAGTCAACATTGCGTGTCGTGGTAATTGGTGTTCAGGCATACGTAACACGTGGCCCAACAATCTCAGTCGATGAAGATTCACAACCTCATCAACTGATTTACCATAATCATTCCCTAATACCCTACGTCTAACCTCACTATTACTTACCTGGTGATCCCGGCAGAGGCGAGCTATATTTCTAAGACATCTGTGATCAAATACTAGTAGCTTACGAGTATCTTCTACTCTTAATGACGACGTTTCACAACCGTAAAGTAGAACAGAGTGAACTGTTGCACAGTATACTCGTCTCTTAATTGATAGTCGGATATATCGCCTTCGCCATAGGTGACCTTTATTTTTGAAGAGATTACGAGTTCACCTAATCTGAGAACGGAACAAAGACTGACCAAAGGCCAATAAGCTAGCTATTGTGACGCGTCCCAGCCCAGTTAACTAGAGAGAAAAAGTCCAAGTTCGGGAGAGGGAAATATATTCCACAAGCAGTCAGAAGCACGAGCAACCACGACAAGTCTAGTCCGAAATACACACTTATTTATATATTGATTCATACACCCATTTTTTATTAATAATTACAATAAAATCACATATATATGAAAAATACTTTATACAAGAATATCGTTTATTTTATTTATTTGAACACATAAATATTGTTACAAGGGGCATCAGATATATATGCGCCACACAAAACAATGAGAATGGGAAGAGAAAAAAGGAGGTAATGTGCGTATAAGAAAAGAAAAGAAAAGAACAGATTAGTTGTAAAAAGTCATATGCTGAGAATAGTTCATGTCCACTGAATACAAGAATATCGTATGTTATACAGAATAAAATATCATACGGGAAAAAACACTATTGGGTAATCATCATACTGAATTAAAACGGAAGTTATGTTGAACAAAAAATCGTAATGAGTAAATCAACCTAATTTTGACTTTTCATCCCGTCATATCAGTGACGTAAGTTAGCAAAAACCAAACGAGCTTTTTGAATCCGTAGAGAGATTTTGTCAGACACCAACCCATTAGCGATGATCAGACTTCCAAGATAAGTGAAGATGCCAACACGTTCAGCTACTTTACTCCCTATCCTAAGTTCAAGTGTTGACGCAGGCCAGTCCTGAAGCAACATCTTGCATTTAGAGACGGAGAAACACATCCCAAACACCCTGGCATTGTTACTCAGTGCTACCAAAAGACTCGGCATTGTATCAGCATCTTCACCAAACAGGATTATGTCATCTGCGTATTCTAAGTCGACAAAGGAACCTCCTGGTATGAGATCAATGCCCGAGAGTTCTGTCGATGAAAGCGTTATTTCCACCAGTAGTTCCATGATTAAGTTAAGCAAAAATGGAGAAAGTGGACAGCCTTGCGAAAGCAGATCACAGTTCGCCTTAAGCTCTGACTCGATTGGTAGTGTTCGAGTAAAGAGCCTTCACAAGGCTTATTTACTTCTGAGGTATGCCTTTCAGACACTGCCACAGAACCTCGCGGTCTACGGAGTCAAATGCTACTTTTAAGTCAAGAAAGACCACGATTGTAGGACGCCGATAAGTATGCCTATTTTCTAGAACCTGACGAATGGTGAATATGTGGTCGATACAGCCATGACCAAGTCCAAAGCGAGCCTGATTTTCTTATGTTTGCAGTTCACGAGTCTTTGTTGGGCTCCCGATAATTGTTGAGGCTAGTATTTTAAATGCTATGTTAGTCAAACTAATCCTTCTATGGTTGTCACAGGATGATTTTAACCCTCTCTTATATATTGGGGCGATAAGTGATTGTGACCAGTCAAATGGTATAACGTCTAATTCCCAGATCTTAGCTAAAATATTAGTCAACTTAATCGCTAAAATTGGACCACCATCCTTAAAGACCTCTGGAGCCAATTCATCTGGACCAGCTGCCCTTCCTCGTTTCAGATTAACTATAGCCTTTTGAACTTCAGCAAGAGTAGGGGGACCTATTTCAATGTTCCATTCACACTGTCTGGGAATGGAGGGTAGTTGTAGAGTAGCTGAAGGCCAGCTGAACTGTTCTCTAAAATGTTCCGCCCATCGTTCTAAACGTCTGGACTGGGAGCAGATGAGAGTATCATCTTTTTCCGAAATAATCTCACTTACACTTGACTTACTAATTCCAGTTTCTTTTATTAGTCTGTAAAGCTGTCTTGTGTTCCCTATAGTCGCCGCCTTTTCCATCTCTTTTGCTTTCGTTACCCACCACTGCTCACGGTCGTTCTTTAGACTTTTTCTTAACCTAGATCTGATTTGTTTTCGCTCTTCATCATGTTCAGGACCTGATGGGACGAGTTTGCGAGAATCCATCAGTGTGACAGACCTTGAAGAAATCCACTGGTTCCTTGCAACTCTGTGGTTTAAGTCACTAATAGATGTCACTGCTGTTTCCACAGCTGATTGTATGCCCTTCCAAGCAACATCTGGGTCAGCCTCGTCTTCACAACTACCTAAGTGTGACCTCAGTTGTTCCTGGAACCTACTTTTGGTTTTCTCGTTACTCAAATCAGTTCTAACGGGTCTTTTTAATGTGGCTTTTTTGCGTCCAGTGAGGCGCAAGCAGATGCGTGCCCGTATTAGGGCATGGTCGGAGTCCAAGCAGGTACTCCAGAATGAGCGACAATCTTGTACCGACCCTCTCCAACGATGACTGATGGCAATATGGTCTATTTGAGTCCATCGTTGGTTTGGTGTAGGGGGTCGCCATGTTAGACGATGTCTCTCCTTATGCTTAAAATTTGTGTTTGCTAAAAATAAACGATTGTCTGAACATAGCTGCAGCAGACGCTCACCATTGTCTGTTCGCTGTGTCGGAATACTAAAATATCCACCTAAATGCCTTTCTGTTTGGTTTAAACTGC